GCGCTCGCGCGCTCGCGTGCGCGCCCCGCTTCCGGCGCCTCAGACAAAGCGTGTGGGGGGCTCGCGGGGCCGCGGCCGGGAGGACGGCCGCCGGCTGGAGAATGAATGAGCCGCGCGGAGGAAGGGGAGGGCCCAGCCCGGCGTCCGCGCCTCGGGGGTGGGCCCTGCTTTGGCGCGCTCGGCCCTGGCCCTGTGACATTTTGCGATCGTCTGCGCCTGCCTCGGACTGAGCGGGAAGGGCGGGGCCTGAGCCGCCCGCCGCCCGCCCGTGGGGTTGGGTTTCCCCGTCCGCGCTTCCTCCCGGGAGGCGTCCGGGACGGCGCTTTTTGCCCCGGGGTTGCCAAAGACGGGTTCGTGTCTGGAGAAGCCGCAGTGCCCCAGCCGGAGTTGCCCACCCCCGGCCTCGGCCTCTCGGCTTCCCCGCTCCCGCTTTTGCTCCAGGCGATGCAGTCGTGGGTCCCCGAGGGGCCGCGAGCGCCCCCGGCCCGCCGCGGCGCCTGTCGTCGCTGTCAGCCCCCGGCAGGCTGGGACAGCCCAGGGGAAGTGGAGCGTCTCGGTGCGGGAGAGCCTGTAGTTACTCCACGTAAAGGGGCAGAGTTCTCAGTCCGGGGCAGAAGGATACATGTGCAGACCTTTTTCACTTTTCCTTGATTTTCAAATGGTCAGAATGGCGAAACCGTCAGCAGTTGGCAAAGAAATGCTGATGACACACGTTAGAAAGTTGTAAATATTTGAGTCCAGAATTCACGCTCTGCCTTGCCACAGTTAGACTCTGTGGAGTTGCCCTGACTTTGCCCTTGGATGTCTCTGTACGTATCCGGGTGAATTTTCCTGTCTCTGTCTCTGTGTGATTGTGCGTGTTTCTACTTCCTATCAGACATTTAAACTGGGCTCATGAAAAGTGCACGAGTGCTGGGTGGGGTGGGGTGGGGTGGCGCACGCCTGTCATCCCAGCAGAGTCCCGCATAGCCTATATGGTGAGTTCAAGGCCAACCTGAACTGCATAGCGAGATCCTGTCTCCAAAAAAAAGCAAAGTAGTCTACACTGCCATATAGTGAAAAATGCGTACTATTTCCTCCTTTTTCTTCTTGAGACAAGGTCTTATTATGTTGCCTGGACTGGTCTTGAGTTTTGGGCTCAAACGATGCCCCTCGCCTCCAGAGTAGCTGG